CAATTTTTGGGATAAAGATTGACCCAAAGACTACTACTCAGCCCCTCCGGAGGCCTACCGACCTTAGAATCCAATCCTGCTGACTACAAGCAGCTTCTGGCATCGAAGAGCCAGGAAGACTTAGCGAACTATCGAACAGCGGACAGAAAGCGTTTAAAGAAGACCTCGAGTACTATCGCATGTCGATGGAGCAGTACAAAAGCGACCGACACCAATACGAAAAGGAGCAGTCAAGCTTCCAGCACATCATGACCCTGATTCAATCAAGCGTGTCACCGCACCTACTACGCACATGCTGTCTCCCAGACAAGACACTTCGCGAGTGGATTATAAACTTGAAGCTTACAGTTGGAGTGAGCGATCGCACCGAGAAGGAGCGAACTAGAGAAAGATACCTAGCATCCCTCAAACCAATGAGGACCCCAAATCAATGGGACACGTGGCTGGCGGAATATGACCAAGCCGCCACGGAAGCTGAAGTATACAGCGTACCAGAAGTGTCACAACTTGATGCGATGTCAAAGGACTTTCTGGTGGCCGTCCAGAAAACAGCACCTATCTGGGCCGTAAACTTCCAAGAGAACGGACGATGGGCAGCTGGGATGAGCCGAAAGGAGATGATGAATCGGTTCCGAGAGCACATGATGATGCACCATCCCCTTTTTAGATCAGGGAAGCACAAAGCAGCTATGGCAGCTTACGATGAAAGCACACATGATGATACAACTCTCGCTGGAGGTGCATCCTACCAGCCACTGCGCGGGACGCCGAGCAGTGGGGTCACCGCGCCATCTACCAACTTGAATCCGGGGAATACCTCGCAAACAAAGTATCGGGGACGTCCTCGTAAACAACCACAAACCTCACAAGCCATGAGAAAGCCAGCACAGAAGCGGTCCTCAGCGCAAAGTGAAGGGACTACCTCCGGGCAGAAATGCCCAGCGTGTTATCAATATCATGAACTCAGAGCATGCTACTATGTCAATCCAGACCTAGCGCCAGAGTGGTGGACACCAAATGAAGCTACAAATGAACTAGTACAGTTTAAATGTAAGAATGATACACAGCTGCAAGGGCTAATCCGCGGACAATGCAGATCCCGTACACGCACGCCAGCTCTGAAACAATCACATACACCAACGCCGGAGTACTCTCAGTCACCAATCGAATGACTAGAAGGACGAAAGATTACGGACGTAGACGCCGCGTTCACTACCATCGCACGGAGTGGGACAGCCGAGCACACGTACCCTCTCGCACGATCATTCATTCTGGATTCAGGAGCGACGTGCCACATCACAAACAATCCAGATCGGATATACAACTACCGCCCGTCATCATTAGGAGACTACATATGGGCTGGTAGTATAAAGATTTGGATACGGGGATACGGGACCACAGACATCACGCTGCAACATCAGCATAGGACAACAAAGCTAGTGCTGCGAGATGTGGCAATCTGCCCAGAGATCGTATGCAATCTAGTGTCCTTCCGACTGCTACGGCAGAGAGGAATCTGGTGGGATACCAAATCAAACCCAACCAACCTACGAGGACCAGACGATCAAGTTATTGGCAACCTCTTAGAAAATTTTGGCCAGTGGGTATTAGAGTACAATCCTCTAGCCCAGGCATTTGTCCACACAAAAGCCATCACAGCACGCACGCAGCGAGGACCAAAGAAGGCCTCAGCGATGCTGTGGCACAAGAGACTCGGCCACCCGGGACCAGCAGCAATCGAGCATCTCGTGCAGCAGTCTGAGGGGGTGCGAGTTCAAGGGGTGACGACAGTACAATGCGACTCCTGCGGAAGAGCCAAGTCCAAGAGACAGATACGACGCCTACCGCGAACAAACGACGAAGGCCCAGGAGAGCGACTTGCTATCGACTTCCATACATACGAAGTCCAGGCGATCACAAAAGAGAAGAGCCAAATGCTCATTACCGATCGTTTCTCAGGCCTCCAATGGGACTTATACTTTACCGACAACCGGACAGCCAAGTCTATTATCCGGCTGCTCACAACTTTCTTCTCATTTATGAAGAACCATTACAATATATCCGTTAAGACCATAGAGTCTGACAACGAGATCACAACTGTTAA